TGTGTGTGTGTGGCAGTGGCCATCTTGGATTTTGATGTTAGGCAGTAATATAGTGAACAACATTGTTTTTACTATTTACATCTGTTAAAAACACAAAGAAATACATAAGTGATGTGCAGCTTGTACAAGACACAAAATGAAGATAAGAAAGATGAGAAAGACCAACTGTGGCAGCACTAATTACACATGAGTACCACAAGTGCACAGTAATGTTGTGGAAATGCAGAAAGCACATTGGCAAGATGCTTGAAGTTGTAATTGTTGGGTCGTTGCCCTGTAATTATCACAGAGCATTTTTATGTGATGTTTTAAAGTTGCAGCATTCTTTGTACAAATTGTTCTTGTGGTGCTCACTTAATCTGTGGTAACCTGCAGTTATAGGAGACCCTGTTATGTATACTAGATCAGGTATATCAGGTACATACAGAGGCAATGTTGAGACATTAAGGCAGAGTATGAGCATTACTAATAAATGCCCTGATTTATGCTCAATAATCCAGGTAGATTAATCCAACAAGGTTGAGTCAGGTCCTCTGGACAGATTCTTCTTTGTTGAAACGTTTTGTCTTTTATCCAAAAGAACTCCAAAGGTAGTGTCATCAGAATCATTTAATGTGGTGGTGGTGGTGGTGGTGTGTGTGTGTGGTGGTGGTGGTGTGTGTGTGTGTGTGGGGGGGTGTGGGGGTGTTCTGGGGGTTCTTCTCCATAAACTTTTAAATAAAGTAGATAGATGCCATTTCCTGCATTCTGCTGTATTTTAATGGGTTGTTAAACGTCTACGTTTACCTACATAAGTAAACACTTGATTTAATAACAATTTTAAAGAGCAACAAGAAGTGGCCTGACCAACAGCTCTCCTTATGTGAACAGAGCCCTCTTCACTTCTCTGAACCATCCAAGATATGGTTTAGTGCTACGTGCAACACAAACATGTTAGCTGCAATGCTACAGACATAGCGCTCCGCTTCTCTTACACATCCTAAACCCCCCCACCCCTGTCAACAACTGCCAATAGTAACATAGCACTAAGCTAGCGCGCAAAACAGAGGTGTCCCCCCCCCCCCCCCCCCATGAGCGCCCTGCCATTTGCCAGATGACCTCAAGGAAACACTTCATGCAGTGTGAAGTTGTTCCAGGAAAACTTGGAATGGACTTTTATTGGTTTGAGTATTCTTCTATTAATCAATTGGAATTGATTAGTTCATGAATAAATAGGCACAGTGCTGGGTGAACTAATATTTCATGGTAAATGTGTCTGTGTGTGTGGGGGGGATGGGGGTCTGAATGAATATTTTTTAAATGTGGGAGGGCATGTCCCCTTCACATATAATCGTTGGGGCCCACAGTGCCAAAAGGCTCAGAGTAAAGAAGTATTTTGGATTAAAAAATGAAACGTTTCAACAAAGAAGAATCCATCCAGAGGACCTGACTCATTAACCTTGTTATTTTAATAATAAATGTCTGAATTCCTGCGTCATTGCAGAGCTTTTAGTTATCAAGCTCCTGAAAACTGATAACTAGTCTACTTTTAAGACTAGGGCTAAGTCTTTCCTTTTTGATAAATCCTATAGTTAGGGTTTGCTCGAGTTTCCTGAGCTATCCCTTAGTTACGCTGCTATTTAGACTGCTGGAGGACAAACTCACCACTTTTCCTCACCCTTCTTTACTCGCTCGATTCTCCATGTTTATACATGCAATTATTGATGTCCTTAACATGTTTTTCTTTGTATTCCATTCAATTCAGTTTATTTATCTGGTGCCAAGTCACAACAGAAGTCATCTCAGGGCACAGAACAGAAACATTCATATATATATATATATATATATATATATATATATATATATATATATAAACAGTAAGTTAACACTATTTATCTAAGGAGCAGACTGCTTTGAGTTTAACTCCATCGCAGAACTCTCATCTTGAACAAGCATGAAGGCGACAGTGGAAAGGAAAAACTCCCTCATGAAGAAGGAACCTTTAGCAGAACCAGGATCAGGACAAGAGGCCATCTGCTTCAAGTACATCTGGACCAGTCCTTCTGTGTTTGTTTGTGTCTTTTTCCTGTCCTCTCACACCCCAGCTGGTCGAGATGAATGTCCCCACTTCCTGATTCTGGCTGTGCTGGAGGTTTGTTGCGGTTAAAAAGGAAGTTTCCCTCCATGCTGGTCAGGATTAGAGACCATGATGAAGTGCAGATTTGACACAATATGCTGGCTTCCTTAGATAATTTTTATTAATTGGCATAATGTATTGTATGTGACTGGATTAAATTACAAATGGAGTGAACTGACTGCAAATGGATTTATATTCTGGCTTGAATAGACGATCTGTTTTTATTGTCCGAATAATAAAACAATCAGTAAGGCTCACATTAGTAAGGCATAAAAAAAACCCCACTTTTATTTGTGTTAAATGGAATACATTTTTTCCTTCTCACCTGCCTTGATTGATGGCTGTCAAGTCAGCTCCTGAGCAGATTTCTTCAACAACGTAAGGGTTCTTCTCACAACTCACATTAAGTGTGGTGTAGTTGGGTTTGCAAACAGTCAGAAAGTAGGGTGTTGGGTAGCCAGTCATCAGTTGAAGGATGTCAGTAATAAGGGCAGTTGCACAAAGTCCGAAAGTGTGAACACCTGAGGGCAAAAAGGTTGAGGAATGAGACTCCTTTCATAAAGTTAGCTGCCAGCTGAAATATGATAATTATTGCTTTACTTCTGCAACTGTTTGCTGGTTAGCTTTTAGCTCAGTTAAATACAAGTAATGACTTAAACAAAGTCATACAAAAAATGTTTTGGGAGATTTTCTTAAACATTAATTTTTTCAGTGTGGTGATCGACTGACACTAAGTCAGCATGTATATGTTAAGGCCCACATGGGTAATGACTGCATGATATTTATGGCTTTAATCAGGGACCCAGAGTATACCAACTACTAAGGAGTACAAGCCAGTGAATCTCTTGTGCTGGTCACAATCCTGGGTAAGTGGTGAGGTTTGTGTCAGAAAGAGCATTCGACGTAAAACACTTTTGCCAAATCAATAATGCGAGTTCATCTAAGTGACACCATACCGCATTGGTCGAGGGCCGGGTTAACAACGACCACCACCGGTGCTGTTGACAAACAGGGTGCCGGTGGAAATTGTGCTACTGTTAGTCGAAGACCACGAGGAGGGAAACATGTCAGGAGACAGAGGGAGAAGAGGAATGTGAAGAATGTAGAACTGAGGGTTGCAACTCTAAATGTGGGGACAATGACAGGCAAAGGTAGAGAGCTGGCTGACATGATGCAGAGAAGGAAGGTAGGTGTTTTATGTGTCCAAGAGACCAAGTGGAAGGGCAGCAAGGCTCACAGCATTGAGGCAGCGTTCAAACTGTTTTACCATGGTGTGGATAGAAAGATAAATGGAGTAGGGGTGGTCCTGAAGGAGGAGTTGGCAAATAATGTAGTAGAAGTGAAAAGAGTGTCAGATAAGGGGATGTGCCTGAAGGTAGAAGTAGAAGGTCTGGTTCTAAACATTCTCAGTGGTTGTGGTCCACAGGTTGGATGTGATGTGAAGGAGAAATAATTATTTTGGAAGGATATGGATGAAATGATAGAGAGTATTTGCAGGGAGGAGAGAGTGGTGATTGGAGCAGATCTGAATGGACATGTTGGTGAAGGAAACAGAGGGGATGAGGAAGTGATGGGTAAGTTTGGTGTCAAGGAAAGAAACCAGGAAGGACAGATGGTGGTGGATTTTGCCAAGAGAATGGAAATAGCTGTAGTCAACACATATTTTCAAAAGACGGAGGAACATAGAGTGACCTATAAGAGTGGAGGAAGGAGTACGCAGGTCAACGATATTCTGTGTAGAAGAGGAAACCTGAGGGAGATTGGAGACTGTAAGGTTGTGGCAGGGGAGAGTGTGGCCTGACAGCATTGGATGGTTGTGTGTAGAATTACCGGTGTTGTGAAGAAGAGAAAAATAATAGAATCAGGGAAGAAGACCAAATGGTGGAAACTGAGAAAAGAAGAATGTTGTGAGAAATAAAGGGAGGAGCTGTTAAAGGCTAGGTGGTAAGAAATAGCTTCAAAATGACTGGACTACTATAGCAACAGTAATTAGAGAGACAGGTAGGAAGGTAACGGTACTTGTTGTGTCATCTGGACAGAATGTATGATAAGGAAACCTGGTAGTGGAATAATGAAGTGCAGGAAGCTATTCAAAGTTAGAAAGAGGTTATGATGAAGTACTGAAAAGGGGAGACAGGAATATAAGGAAATGCAATATAGAGCAAAGAGGGAGGTAGCAAAAGCAAATCAAATGGTAAATGGTAAATGGACTGTACTTATATAGTGCCTTTCTATCTTATTGGGATACTCAAAGCACTTTACACTACAACCTGTGTCCTCATTTACCCATTCATACAGCATTATAGATCTCTAGATAGCTAATTGAACAAATCATTCTAAAGAGACTAATCAGTGCTTTATCAAAATTCATACACTGATGGGACACACATCGGCGGCAATGAGGGGTTCAGTGTCTTGCCCAGGGACACTTCGGCATGTGACTGCTGGTGGATTCTAACCCTCAACTCTTGCATTGGAGGACGACTGCGCTAACCACTCAGCCATAGCCCCCCATAGAAGGCGTATGATGGGTTGCATGGGAGGCTGGACACTAAAGAGGGTGAGAAGGACTTGTACCGATTGGGGAGTCAGAGGGATCAGGCTAGAAAGGATGTGCAGCAGCTTAGGCTTGTTAAAGATAGGAATTGTAATGATTTAACAAGTGAGGAGAGTGTGATAGGAAAATGGAAGGAGTACTTTGAGGAGCTAATGAATGAAGAGAATTGAAAGTGAAAGAAGAGTTGAGGTCATAGAAAATGTGGACCAAGAAGTGGGAAAGATTAGTGAGGGTGAAGTCTGGAAAGCTCTGAAAAGAATGAAGAAGGGGAAGGCAGTAGGACCTGATGACATATCAATGGAGGTTTGGAAATGTCTTGGAGTGATGGCAGTGAGGTTTTTGACTCAAATATTCAATGGCATATTTGAAGGTGAGAAAAGGCTTGAGGAATGGAGAAGTGTGCTGGTGCCCATTTTTAAGAACAAAGGTCATGTACAAAGCTCTAACAACTACAGGGGAATTAAGTTGATGAGTCACACAATGAAGATCTGGGAAAGAGTTATGGAAGCTAGACTTAGATGAGAGGTGACTGTGAGCAGCAGTATGTTTTCATGCCAATAAAGCACCACAGATGCCATCTTTGCTTTGATAATTCTGATGGAGAAGTACAGAGAGGGTCAGAAAGAACTCCATTGTGTCTTTGTGGATTTAGAAAAAGCATATGACAGGGTGCCGAGGGAAGAGGTGTGGTATTGCATGAAGAAATCTGGAGAGGCAGAGAAGTATGTTAGACTGGTACAGGACATGCATGAGGACAGCAGGACAGTGGTGAGGTGTGCTGTAAGAGTGACAGATAGCTTCAAGGTGGAGGTGGGATTGTATCAAGGATCGTCTCTGAGCCCCTTATTGTTTGCTTTGGTGATGGACCAACTAACAAATGAAGTCAGGCAGGAATCTCCGTGGACTATGATGTTTGCAGATGACATGACTGTTCCTGTTTCTGTTCCTGTTCCCTCTTCTCATCTGTGGTGAGAAGTGGGAACAGGTGGAAGAGATATTGGCGAGGTGGATGAATGCACTTGAAAGAAGAGGAATGAAAGTCAGCCATATTAAGACAGAGTACAGTTGTGTGAATGAGAGGGAGGCCGGTGGAACAGTGAAGCTACAAGTAGCAGAGGTCACAAAGGTGCAGGACTTCAAGTACTTGGGGCCCACTGTCCAGGAAAATAGGGAGTATGGTAAAGAGGTGAAAACAAGAGTCCAAGCAGGATGGAGTGGATGGAGAAAAGTTGCAGGAGTGATTTGTGACAAAAGGGTGCCAACAAAGGTCAAAGGAAAAGTTTACAAGACAGTGGTGAGACCAGCTATGTTGTATGGTCTGGAGACAGAGACATGGACAAAAAGACAGGAGACAGAACTGGAAGTAGCAGAAATTAAGATGTTGAGGTCATCAGAGGTACAGCACAGGTTGAACAACTGGGAGATCAAGCTAGAAAGGCCATACTGAGATAGTCTGGACATGTCCAGAGGAGAGACAGTGGGTATATTGGTAGAAAGATGTTAGAAATGCAGCGGCCAGGAAAAAGCCAAAGAGAAGATATATGGAGTTAGAGAGGACATGGAGGTAGTTGGAGTGAGGACAGAGGATGAAGAGGACAGAGAGTGATGGAGAAGGATGACTCTCTGTGGAGACTCATGAAGAGGGAAAAACCGAAAGAAGAAGAAGAATAAAGGACCCCGAGTGACTGTAAAACAGTTTTGTTATTAAGTGTTTTCAAGCAAGAATGAACACAAAGAAGATTTCTTTTAAATGACAAACAATAAGCATGTGTACCAATGAAACGGAAGGCTCTGCGTATGAAGGAGTTGAAGTTACAGCCAGCTGCGTTAATGTTAGCCTCATTTCCAGCGCCACTCTTCCTACGTGAAAGGCAGCAGAACACGATGGCCTCTCCAATCATAATCTGGAAACACAATCACCTTACTGTTAGATGTTTACATACAGATGGGAGTCAAACAATTTACTGAGGATGACTGTGCTTGTTAAACTTTGTGTGTTGTTGAACAGATATACCGTAATCCTATCTACACATATCTGCACTTTTAGCTCACACTTGTCTATTGTTTCCTAAATAAATATTCATTTCATAGATCTCTGTGCCTATTAATGTAAGTTAATACAAAATACAGTTCACTATATACAGTACTTGCTAAGGACCAAGTAGGTACCGTAATTTCCAAACTATAAGCCACTACTTTTTTCACAGGCTTTGAACCCTGTGGCTTATACAATGCTGCAGCTAATTTATATTTTATTTATTTATTGATGGGCTAACGATCTTGATGCTGCCAAAAACATTTAGCTTTGTCACACCCAGGCACTCACATAGCTGCCCAATACACATCTCTCTTGGGGGGTGGGTCCTCGTGACTCAATGATACTACCTGTATAATTAAAGGTTAAAAAAATCTAACCAATGAAATACCTAACAGGTCACAAAGGACCAATGAAACGAGGAGGGGAGGGGATTCCCCTGCATGCGCAGAGCAACTTTTGCTCTGTTGCCTGTGTTTCCTGACAGTGGAGCAGGTGGACAGTGTGCAGGAGGAATATGAAGAAATCAATCAACAACTTCCTGGTAGGCAACTGTTTTATTATTTTTTTATTTTTTAACAGCTGTGTTACAGGCACTGTTAAAAAAAAAGTACTGTACATATTAATGTATCTTACCGGTATGTATTTAATTAAAAGTAAAAAAAAAAACTTTCTGTGTTATATCTCATGTTAGATTATGGACACCCGTGGCTTTTAGACAAGCGTGGCCTATATATGTATACAAAATTATATAAAAAAAAAAAAATAGTGGGCGTGGCTTATATTCAGGTGTGCTGAATAGTCCGGAAATTACGGCATTCGATAAGTACAGGGTACCGTGTCACTTAATAATATAGCACAGTTCCATAGGAAGTAGATAAATACCTGTTATGTACCAGGTACAAATCATCTAAATACCTCTACATGGCCTGTAAATACCAAGTAAGTACCAGTTACATGCACTGTACATATTGTGCAGGTACCAGGTACTTACATAGTAAGTACCAGGTAAATCCTAGGTAAGAACCAATTACATACTCTGTAATTATAGGGCAGGCACCAGGTACATACAAGGTGCACACCTGTTACATGCATGTTAAACACCAGATAAGTACCAGTTATGTACGTGGTAAGTACCAGTTCCATACCTGTAAATATTTGGCAGGTACTAGTAACGTAGAAGTTAAATACCAGATCCATATACTATACATACCACTGTCAAAACCATCTTTCACCCGTGTGATGCACACACTCGTAAAAAGACCTGACAAGACAAAGTCGCAGTTGTCTACTGCAAAGGAATATCTACCACTGTAGGAAAATGTAACTCCTTAGCATAAGTTTACAATGGTGCTAAAAGCATTATTAAATTATCCTGTATGTTTAGTTAATTATGTAAAGCAGAATAGAATTTTATTATTCTCATCTTTTCAATTTAAACTCCTAATGACTAGGATACGTTGTGCAACAAAAACTCATAGTGTTATACATGAGCTGTACGGTGGTGCAGTAGGCTAGTTTAGTTGCACTGAAGCATGATGATCCTTGGTTTGCCTCACAGCTGGGACCCTGTTGTGTGGAAGTCATGTTCAACTCGTTCCATGTGTGGGTTTTCTCCAAGTTCTCTAGTTTTCTCTGAGTCCAAAAACATGTTATGTTAATTCATAAGTTTAACCTAGTACAAGACAGACTATGTGAATGAAGGGTTGGTTGTTTTTGTGTGGCCCCAAAATGAACTGATGACATTTCTAGGATGTACCCTGCCTCTAGCCAAATGACTGTTGACATGAGACACTACCCAGAAGAGGAAAAAGCAATTGTGACATATGTGGAAATGTGAATTGTGCTACTACTGGTATATGCTAAAGGTCTAGGCTCTGCTGTCTTTAAATTTATCCATCCATCCATCCATTATCTTTACCCACTTCTTCCTTTTTTAGGTGATGGAGGGTCACTGGTGCCCATATCCATCTATCACTGTGCAAGAGGCAGGGGGCACCCTGGACAGGCCTCCAGTCCATCACAGGGACACCCTGGACAGGTCTCCATTCCATCACAAGGCCTGCTTAGTTTCATGTATTTACAAATGAATATCACATCTGTCAGTAACGATGTAGGAAACTAAATGACATTTTTGTTTGTTTATTAAAGTTTGAAAATGCCAAAAGAATAAATATTGCTATTGTCATAAGTATAAGTTAATATTTGTGTCCTGAGTAATTACTTTTCATAATTTTTTTATAAGGTGACATATGTTATTTACATGCATATTTTATTTGTATGACTTCATGTGAATTATGTCCTTTCAATTCATATGAATTGAAGCCCATACTGTCCAAAAATAACCTTGAGACAGTAATACATGCGCTCATAACATCCAGGCCTGATGGCTGCAATGCACTTCGTTTTGGAATCAGTCAGACCTCCATCGCACAATTACAACTGAATTAGTCTAAAATGCTAAAGAAGCCCAATTTTAACCAGTACAGGAAAAAAGAGCACATTACACCAGTTTTGGCCTCCCTTCACTGGTTCCCGGTTCACTTTCGAAATCAATTCAAAATCATTTTGTACATTTTTAAATCTCTGAACAGTTCTGCCCCTCTCTTATCTCTCTGATCTGCTGCAGCTATATGTCCCACAGCGATCTCTGGGGTCAGCAGATCAGACACTTTTATTGGTTCCAGGAACTTGTTTTAAGCTCAGAGGTGACAGAACCTTCTCTGTTGCATGTCCAAGACTGTGGAACGAGTTACCACTGCATGTCAGGCAGGCCCCTTCTCTCACTGTTTTTAAGTCTCGTTTGAAAACTTGACTTTTATTCCGTGGATTTTGACACTGTGTGGTTTTGTTTTTAACTTGTCTGTATTCTACAATGTTAGCCATTTAGTTCTTATCTTCACCTCTGTGGATCTATGTATTTTATCCTGTGCCCTTTGCTTGTTTGTTTCTGCTGTACAGCACTTTGGTCGGCCTTGTTGTTTTTAAGTGCTTTATAAATAAAGTGGTACGGTATGGTATGGTATGGTACGGTACGGTACGGTATGGTAAGTCTGCCTAAAAAAAGCTAAACTACATTTTCATAGGTTGGTTAAGTAAAGCAGGAGTGATTAGTAATAAATAATGGCCTAAAGGGCTTCACATAGACAAGCTTTGAGACCGGCAGGGAGCCACTTCATTTTTTGACCTGTCGTTAACTCTCTCAATTGTTTTATTGTTTGTTTTTTTTTGTTTATTTATGCTCATGAATCATATACCTCTATCCATCACACGATTATCAAACCCCACTTTCAAACCATTGGAATCCTAAAACATATTGGACAGGTCAGGTTTGTGATGTGATGCTTACTGTGATGGCTGGTCCAGCGAACGCCAGGCTAAGTAGCATCAGCAATGGGATGACCTCGTGGTTTGGGTCGATGTAGGGGAGACTCAGACTTCGGTCATGACATATGTAACCAGACTTGACCGGCTTGAACACGTCCGTCCACTCCAGGAAGTAAAGGCTGACAACAGACAACACCAGAATCGGCAGCTACACAGAGACAAGAGGGGCAAATGAAGAAAATGATGTTACAGCTAAAAGTAAGAGCAGCAAAAGATAATAAATAAATAATTTGACAAACAGGCAGTAAAAGATGCAAATGTCCTCGTATCCTTTGGTTCAACGACCATATTAATTTGATTTGAAAATTACCAGGAAGGCATGAAGGCATCACATGAAGGTATAGCTGAACTGAGGGTACGATGGAGCCTGAGATTAACTCAATTTTTATCTCAATTCTGCTCAGTGAAATCTACAAATATATCTAAATAAAATCAAGACTAACTGTACGTCAATGTCGCCAGTCCCTGAGGGGTTTGAAAAGTGAACGTTTCTAGTTTTGAAGATTACTGGTTATCTGGAATTGACCACCATAAATTAATCTTCAACCAACCCAAATATTTGAGGAAACTTTTAGCAATACAAAAATTAGAAAGCGGTGGCCATCTTGAATTTTGAGTTGGCAAGCCAGTTTTTGTTAGTGATCTTTCTTAGGCCTAGATGTAGCCACACACCAAAATGAAGGTCCGTACCTCTCTTATTTTTCAAGTTATCATGCTCACAACATGCACTGAAAGACAGAGGATGGAGGGAGGGTATTTCCAATTTCCCATCTTCGCTCAGCGATGGGAGACAAAAAGACCAACAGTTAAATCATTTTTAAGATCTTAAAGAATGTAAATAAAACTGATGATTCCAGAGCGGATCAGTCCCAGTCATGAAATGAACATTGACTGCTTAATGCTGGTGTTTCTCTCCATTGAACAAATGAAAGCAGAGGACTGGTCTGTGGAAGATATCATAAAAGCAAAGCTCCCATCAGGCTCAGCTGCTTCTATAAATTCTGCTTTGGACATGCTGACTGGATGCTTGCAGCAATAACACAGCTGACCTAGCACAATGACCTGTGATTGTCAAAATCATTGAGACAGAGCAGAAGACCAGAGAGGACAGGGTCCGGACGAACTGTCTTCTTCAAGAAACAGCTACATATCTCAAAGATATGGTGCCTATACAAGTATAATCCCCTTGGATGTTTTATGCCTTTAGTACTGTCTTAAATCCACTATGGTCAATTTCAGCTGACCTTTTTGAAAAAATAAAATGAAAATTTCTTCCAGGTCTATGGAAAGTGAAGGAGTAATACATCCCCCTTACACACACACACACACACACACACACACACACACACACACACACACA